CCCCATCTACAAAAAAAATAATAATAACCAGGTGTGGTGGCACATGCGCCTGTAGTCCCAACTACTTGGGAGGCTGAGGCAGGAGGATCGCTTGAGCCCAGGAGTTGGAGGCTGCAGTGAGCTATGATCACGTCATGGCACTCCAACCCCAGGAAGAGAGTAAGACCTTGTCTCTAAAAAAAAATTTAAAAAGAAAAAAGCCAGGGCCAGACTTCCCAGAAGAGAAGAAAGCAACAGCAGGAGAACCTCAACAATGCGCGTGCGCGCGCGGACACACACACACACACACACACACACACACACACACACACACACACACTCCAGCCATGGAGCCCGGGTCTGCTGCCCCACCCCCGCAACTGTGCCAGAACAATTCTGTTTCTGAATCCTGCAAAAGCTCCCTCGTCTTCCTCTTCCAGACCCCTGCAACCCCTGAACTTCCCCATCATTCTCTCGCTTCTGGAGCAAACATCCCAACCGCCACACACAGGTGCAAGGCAACACTGGCCATGCCCGGCAGGTGGCAGCAGCTCCCAACATCAGGATCCAGTGGGCCAGGGGCTCGCCTCCACCCTCCCAGCCTATGGGGTGGAAACCCCAAACTCTGTCCAGGGGCTGTGGGAGCTCCCAAATGCCCAGCCTTTGCCCCAGTACTCCCCTATAGGAGCACTGCTCGTTCAAGCTTGCAAGCGTTTATCACTGTAAACGCACTTTCCACACCAGCCTTGGGGAATCAACCAGACATGACCTGGTTCCTGCTCTTCAGACGTGCCCAGTCTAATGAGGGGACAGCCTAACACAGACCATACCCACACAGGACACAAGAGTGCCACTGTCAGGATAAATCAGGGTCTTTGTGAGATCATACAGAAGGAGCCCAAAACTCATACTTGGGTGCTCAGGGACAAATCCTTGGAGGAGGTGATGTCTGGGAGGGAAGGACCAGCAGTCATGGCCAGGTACATGGGGAGGGGGGCAAGAAAGCGGGAGGGGCGTGCTCCAGGCCCGGAGAACTCACGTCGTGCATGTGGGCTGAAGGAACAGCAGCAGATGGGCATTTTGGTTCATAGGGTAGCGGGGAAGGCAGTCTCCGAGAGGTGGGGCAGGGCCAGATCACAAAGGACGTGACAAGCCACGTGGAGGCACTAGGATCAATAAGGAACAATGAGGAAACCTCACTTCCCTGAACAAGTGGGAGTGTGGGGACAGAATGCCAGCTGGGGCTCCAAGATGCCCCTTTGACTGGAGCAGGGTCAGAACTTTCTAGAGCATTTCTCCTGACTGAGGATTCACCAACTTTGTACACCAAAGAGCGGGGCGGGAGCCAGGGATGTGTGGACTGCTGGTGCCCACGGGGAATAAGCCAGCTCTCTCACAAATCCCCATCCCTGTGCGGACCTCGGCCCAGAATGCCTTTCCCTTCTCCACTGGCCACTCCTACTCACCCTTTAAGCCCCAGCTGAAACCCCCACACCTCCAACCCCTGAAGTGGTCCCAGATTCCAGGGAGGTGGGGGCTCTGGGGACCCACGGCCTCTTGTGCAACAGTTTCTATTTCAGCCCCGGCCATGTTTCCGGTTGTCTCCATCCGTCCCTCGCCTGTCGGGGAGCATTGTCAGGCCTTGTTTCTTCTCCCAGACACAGATACGCGCGCACACACACACACGCCCTAGACTGTGGCCACAGCTTCATCTCTACTCCAAGCCAGGCCACTCCTGACGCCCAAGCCTCCAGCCAGTGCTCCACCCTCACTCCGGATGTCGGGGCAGGCACCTGAAATATTCCATATCCCAGCTTGAACTCCCCACCCAGCCCCCAGACAGGCTTGTCCTCCAGGACGCCAAGCCAGAAGCTAAGGGGCTGGCCCGTCACCATGGCCTGCTGCTTCTACTTCATAATACCTGTCTGTTATTTTAATGTTTTACAACAAACGTGTGTCCTTTTCATAATTGAAGTTAAGGTATAGTAAGTAAAATCTCTTGAATGCCTTTGACCCTTCCCTCCAGTCTGGCTGGTCCTGCTTTGGTTTGGACTGTCACAGTCTCTGTCCTGGTCACCACAGCAGCGTCCAGCTGTCCTCCACACTGCTACAGAAGGGCCTCTTCTCTTGCTTTGAAAACCATCTTTTCTTCCAGCCTGGACACCCCTGTGAATTCCAGACTTGTACAGGCAACTGTCTACTTGCTCTCCCCATCGAGCTGTCTAGTGGGCAATTCGGCTCCAACCCCAATTCCTGGTTCACCCCTAACCCCCCTGCTCCCCATCCAGCCTCCCTCATCTTTGCAAATGGCAGCACTATCTTTCTTGTTGTTCAGGTGAAAAATCTTAACTCCAGTCATCCTGAATTCCTCTTTCTTAGTCCCCCTGCTCCCATCCATCCCCCACCCCACCCCACTTCTCCATTCCATTAGTAAACCCTGTTGGCTCTACCTTTAAAATATATCCACTATATGGCCACTTCTCACCACTGCCACTGCTGTCACCTTTGCCCTGCCCCCCACTGTCTCCCACCTGTGTTATTGCTGTAACCTTCTAGATAATGCTCCAGCTTCCACCCTCATCCCTGTCTAGTCTCAACCCAGCAACCACAGCAAGCCTGTTCTAGCCAAAGATGGATCCTGTCCCTCCTCAGCTCAAAACCCAACTGGGGCTCCATCCCGCTCAGAGTGAAAACCAAAGGACACAGGACGCTTACAAGGCCTCCCACGACCTGCCCCTCCCTTGCCTTCTCTGCTGTTTCCAACATGCTGGGCTCGCTCCCTCTCCATGGTGGTTGCACCTGCTGTTCCCTCTGCCCAGACTGCTGTTCCCCACCTACTGCATGGCTCATCCCTCACCTCCTCCAGAGAGTCACTCAAATGTTGCCCTCTCAGCAAGGCCCTCCTTGAAATTGGAATTCCCCTCTCAAACCCAGTTGTCCCTGCATCCTTTCCTACTTTACCCGCTCCGTACATATGTCACCATTATATATGTTATTTGTTTATTTATCATCTTTCCTCTACCAGACTGTGGACTCCACAAGTGCAAGGACTTGCCTGTCTTGTTTTCTGCCCTATTCCCAGCATCTAGAAGAGTCGGCACATAGTAGATACTCAATTAAATACCTTTTGACTAAACGAGTGAAAATCTGACCCTCAACTGGCGCTTCCTTTATGGGCTCTTCACAATGACATTCAGCATTCGAGGCTTCGCTCCCTGGCCTCATTTCCCACCTGTGCCCACCCGTGCTCACCTGAGTGTCATACAGGCCCCTGAGGTTCTCCTGACAGAGCACCCCACTGTTGAGTGTACCCCACGCCCAGCCCTGCCCCAGTAACCTTCCTGCTGTGAGCCCACTTCTCCAACTCCCTGTTCAAATGGCACCACCTCTGGGAAGCCACCTGGTTCCCTTACATGTTGAAACCATGTCTGTCTCCCCCAATACAGTGGAAACACCTTGAGTGAAGAACAGTGGCCCCAGTACACAGTTTCCCATTTAATGTTTGATGGATGAATGAATGATTAAATGAGATAAGACTTAGTAAAACAGAGTTTAAGGTAAAGGGCACATGTTAATTCCTTTATTCATTTTTCAGGCTATCATTTAATCTACATCTTAGTGAATGATGCTTGGCATTACACTGGGCCCTCTGAGGGCAGGAGCTATGCCTCCCCTTCCTGCCCTCTCCCTGCAGGGCCAGACACTGGCTCTGGGGGCACTCCCGTGACCCACTCCGCTGACTCACCCTGCACGCAGGAAAGAACACTAGGCCAAGGGTCAGGCAGCCTCCCTTGCCACTTGTTTCCATAATCCTGGGCAAGTCCCTCTAGCAGATTGGTGCTTGTTTCTCATCTGTCATATAAGATGCCACCAATGCCTGCTCTACGATCACTCAGGGTTGAAGCCTGGACAACTGGAAAGGGCGTGGCTGTCTTCCATGCCAGGACACATTCGAGTGTCTTGGGCTAGATTTTCCAGGGAAGAAGGGAAGTCTGGAACAGTGTCCCCAGCCTGACTGCCAGCTAGCTAACCTGTGCCCATCGTCTGGGAGATGTGCCAGGCTCAGACACACTGGGCAGCAGGGAGCTGGACTGGCTCCAGAGCAATGCCGTGGCAGCCTGGGATAGGGAGCAGGGGGAGTGCTTGGCTTGAGGTCAAGAGGGTCTGGGCCACTGCATAGAAGGGACAGCTGGGGCAGTGGGGGTGGTGGGGAGATGGGCGTGTGTGACTGCTGTTGCAACAGGATCCTGGCAGGGACCTAAAAGGGAACATCGCCCCTCCACTCTCGCCCCCCGCCCCCTCCCGGGTACTGCTTAGGTCTTCCCATTAGTCCCAGAGGAAGCTGGGCCCAGGCTCAGCTGCCCCCAGCTTCCAGATAGAAAACAGGACCTGAGGCCTTTGGCTGGAGGTCAGGGTGGGAGACGCAGGGAAAAGGGAAGGAGAGGGCAGTGTAACTTAAATCTCCCTTTCCCAAAGATAGAGGGGTTCCTGCGTCCCCACCGGGAGTGGAAACTAAAGGAAAAGGGGGCTCACCCAGCATCCCGCCCTGTGAACTGAGAACTACCAGGGCAGAAGGTGGCAAAGCCTGAGTCCGGGTCGGATGATGGGAGAAGGTGGGAAGGGTGGGGGCCCGGAGGCTGGAACTCTCTGGAGCAGGTTTCTGGCTGGGGGACTGACGGACTGCAGGGAGACGTTGGAGGCCCTGTGGCAATGAAGTCTGCCAAGGAGTTGCAACCTCCAGCAAATCCCCCGGGATGCGAAGGGCTCCGGGGCCGAGGATCCAGGGTCCAGAACAGGGATGCGGAGCGGCAGAGTGGAGAGGGGCTGGGGCTCCATCCCAGGCAGGGGTCACGAATCGAGGACGCAGGGGGACTAGGCCCCAGAGCTTCGAGTGGGGCGGGGCCGGGGCGGGGGCCCGGAGGGCGCTGGGCGGGGCCGGGCTGGGCTGGGCTGGGCCGGGGTCCCGGGGGCCGGGGCGGGGCCGGGCGGGCGCTGCGCAGCCGCGGGGCGGCCGCCGCGCATGCGGGGCTCACTCGGCTGCAGCCGGCGCCGCTGCCACTCCCGGGAGCATGAAGGACCGAACCCAGGAGCTCCGCACGGTGAGTCCGGCCCCGGCGCGCTGCCGCCCGCCGCCCGCGCCAGCGCGCCGGACACTCCCCGCCCGGCCCCCGCGGCCAGCGAGCGCGGTGGCGACCCCTGCGGCCCCGCCGGGCGGGAGGGAGCGGTGCGAGCCGGGGACCCCGACCCCCGTCCGGGTCCCGCCCCTCGGACCCACTCGGGGTCACGGGCTCGCGTGAGCTCGGCCGTGTTGACCCGTGGACTCGTGGCTGGAGCCCGGGGTCCTGGATAAACTTTTCGGCGCCCTCTGGTTTTGGGGAGTCGGAGGGTTATTATGCGGTTTCGGTGACGGGACGGAGAGCCTGACCTCTCCCCCGCCCGCGGAGCGGGTCCTTCCTCTGTTCCCCCGCTGTCCCTCATCGCTGACTTCCCGTCCCGGCGCGGTGTAGACAGACGGCGGGACCGCGGTGGGAACGGGCCAGGGCGGCCCCCTGTCCAGATCCGCTGCCGGGCGCGCTGCAGAAACCCGGCCGTCGGTGGGGGCGGCCTCCTCGGCGGGAGCCGTCTCGCGGGGCGCCGCGCCGCCCCGTCACCTGTGGCTCCCCTCACCTGTGGCTCGCGGTCGGGATCCTCTGCCCGCCCGGGCTCTGGGAGGGGTCACACTCGCCCCCGGTCCTCCTTCGGGCTTCCGGGCAGCCCGGGCTAGCTTTTCCAGACCCTTCCGTGGTTCCGTGGTCTGACTCTGATCTGGATCAATACATTTTTCCACCTGTGTCTCCGAAGCCCCTGGGGTGTGGCTCCTGGGGCGGGGTTTGAGGGGAGTAGGAGGATGCACAAAGGTTCCCAGTCAGAGCCCACCCTCCCTACCGGGACAGAGACCCCTGCTGCCAGCTCCTCATCAGTAGGGTCCCCTTCCCCTGGCCTCTGCCCTTAAGGACAGCAAGCCTGGCGGCCTGTGGGGGCGGTGAAGGAAATGAAGCCTCCCTGTGGGGGCAGGGGGCAGGGCTCAAGACCCGAGTGAGCCTCATCGGATCCCCTGGCTGTCCACCCTGCTGACAGGCCCCACCCACTGATCACCAGAGCCCCCAGCCCAGTAGCTCCCAGATCCCTCCTCCTGCCACAGGGCTTAGAGCTGGAGCCCTAGGTCCCCTCATATGGAAAGTTTCAAGTGTCCTTTGGGCTTTTGACCCATGGCTTGTCTTCTGTGTCCAGAAGCTTCCTGTGTTGGTGCCCGAGTCTCCCCCCATCACACCAGTCTTGTCTGTGGGCAGCCTGTGCTCGCCTGCCTCCACCTCCCCCCTCACTCTGGCCCCCACCCTGCCTTCAGACCTGTGTTGTTCCTGGCTGAGTGCCCAGCCCCTGGGGTAAACCCCATGGGGTTTCAAAGGAAGAAGATAGTCCCTTATGTGGTAGGTATATGGCCTCCAAACGCTCCCCCCACCAGCCTTTGTGGTTGCCCTCAAGTTTCCTGTGCTCCGCTCAATGGGAAAGACTGTTATCTTGGTGATGAACGGCTGTGTGGTGTGTTGGCTGATGTTTGGGTGTCTGGTAGGTCGGAGGAGGGTATGTGTGGGGACCAAGTGACGGGGGGAACAGCTCCTTACATGTGATGATATCATCTGGTTTGTCAGCTTTCATCCCCTCTGCTGAAAGGGAAACTGAGGCACAAAGGAGCAGTGGCTTGCCTGGTAGATCAACGGATGGTAGAAAGGGGCTTTGCCTAGTCCTTGAAGATGGTCAGACTTGGGCCTGGCTGGGACTGGGCCCCCCCAGGAGAGCTTGGGTTGTGTCTCTGACACACAAACACACACACATACACACACACACACACACACACTAGCCCAGGTGGCCCCTTAGATGGTGAGGCCTGGCTTTGCTTTGAACTGTCTGAGGTTCCTCTCCAGGCATCCCCTACCCTGCCCGCCCCAGCTGGGCATTCAGAGCCCACGGTACTACTGGTGGCCCTGCCCATGAAGGGTTTCAAGCAGCCTTGAGGGGCGGCTGGCAGGAGCCCACAGCAGGTGGAATGGAATCATCAGTCTTGAGGGGTTGCCATTCCTACAAGTCCCTTTCCCTCTGAGCCTGGGGTTCTTGTCTGTAAAGTGGAGATAGGAAAACCTGGAACCCAGTTTTTCAGGGTGAGAGGCATGGTCACAGGTCTCCTGACTCCACTCCACATTTCGGTGAGACCTTGAACCCCAGGAGTCAGAATTTTCAGCCCAGAATCCCCAGGAATGAAGAAGCCAGTGCTGGCTGGGATGGACAGTGATGGTGCTGGGGACAGCGGCTGTGCGCCACCCCCAACCCTCCCTCCCTCCCTCCTCCTCCTCCTTCTCCTTTCTCCTTCTCCCCCCATCCAACGCCACCACATTTGGAAGGGAGGCGAAGGGAGCTTATTTATAAAAGTCACACTTGGGGAAGGAGCTGGCGTGTTTCCTCAGCGCTCTGCAGGCCAGGCCCAGCCCTCCAGCCCTCTCCAGCCCCCACCTCTTGTGGGGCTGCTGCTTCCCGTTCTGCAGATGCAGGGAGAAGGGGGTCATTGGAGGCCAGTGGGGGGCCTCACCACTGTAGCAGGTCCTCAGAGATCAGCAGGGCCACCCCAGGGTACAGGGGGGACAGAGAGACCTAAGGGGGCAAAGACTGGGTGAGGGTCACATAGCCGGGGAGGGGCTTTGGGACAGGGCACCCCCAGACAGCCCCAGCCTGGTATGTAGCAGCCTTCACCCCTCAACACAGGGACCTCCCTGATTTTCTTCCCTGGGGCCTCCCAAAGCTGACCTGCCCCTCCATGGGCCCACAATGCTGTTTATCTCCCGGCTGAGCCATGTGGGACAGGCACGTGGGACCCACTGCGGGAGGCAGAAGACAGAGGCAGTAGGGGGTGTTGGGGCAGCTGGAACCTGGAAGAAGAGAACTTAGGATGTCCCCGAAGGAGGAGCTGGATTTGAACAGGAGGACAGAGGGGTGAGCTTGAGGAAGGGCAGAGAGGTAGGAATGCCCAACTAGGAGAGAACAGCTGGTGGTCCCAGCACCTGGCCTCTCAGGGCCCCCCTGGGGCCCCCTGACATCTAGACTGGGGCCAGCTCACTGGGGCAGCGGGGCAGGCCTGGATGGGGAAGGCCGGTGCCCCCTTGGCCCACCAGTTCCCTACTCTCTCCCTCGTTGCTAGGAAGAGACTGGTGGTCGGTCTGTCTCTGCTCGGTTTCTCATCTGTAAAATGGAGCCGGTGTTAACTGCCTCGCACGCAGGGCAGCATTTCTGCCCTGGACCAATGGGCACAGGGCAGGGGCTCCCTCCTTCCCTCCTGCTACCTCCCTGGGGTTTCCCAGAATAAACAGTGGATCTGGGCACATTTTCCTTTGGGGTGCAGATGGAATGGCCTTCCTGGACCATCTAGTCCAACCTCCTGTCTTACAGATCAAAAAACTGAGGTCCAGAAAGGGACCTGGAGCTGCCTCCCTGAGCTGCTCTGGGGCCCTGCTAAGGGGCAGGCTCTGCCGAGTAGGGACCTGGTGTCGGAGGCCCAGGGAGTACACAGACCCGGAGGGTGGGGACAGGGGGAGGGCATCAGACTGGAGAGCCCTCTTTCCTGGAGACCCAGCCTGGCCTCTCACACACCCCTGACTCAGCTCTCAGTGCTCTCTGCGCTAGTGATATTGACTTTGATTAGTCATTTAAGAGAGGAAGGGAAAAAAATAGCCCTCAAGGCAGACAACAGCAACTCTGCTCAGCAGCGATGAATCAACCCTGCCGGCTGGCCTGACGCCCTCCCCTGGGACCGACCTGGAGGCTGACTGGCCTCCGTGCCTCTTGGAGGAATCAGACTCCGGCTTCCAGGAAGGTGTCCTGGAATCCTGGAGCCAGTGCCCGGGGAGACCACCAGGGCTGCCCCGCCTCCGCGTGCACAGTGGTTGTGCCGGATCTCCTCTTCCTGCTGACTCCACGACTCCACGGCAGCTCTCCCAGCTTCCATTCCTGATTGGAGGTGGTGAGGCCAGAGCTTGGACAGCAGGTCACAGGGTGGGAGCCACCAGACTAGCAGTTTTCTACCCTGGGGGTGAGAGTGCTTTCAAAAAAACTGAACCTCCCTAATTCAGGCTGATTTAGTCTCTCTGGGGTGGAACCCTGAAAGCTGTGTTTTTTAAAGTTCCCCCAAGGGATTCTGGTTCTAAAACCACCAATTGAGGACACACTGAATGTTGGGTGGATGGAAACGGAGGAGGAAGAGGGTGGATGCCCCCAGGTTTCTGGCTTGCACGGCCCTGGGACACAGTGGGGTTCTGAGCCAGGGTGTTCAGAGAAGAAAGAGGCAGGTCCTGGCTTGAGCCTGGTGGCACACAGAGTGCCCGTATGATATCTGGGTGCATCTGGCCATAAGATATTTGGGCCTTTGAGCTTGTAACTGCCCCACGGCTCTGGCTGCCACCTGCACACCAGCGCCTCCCAAGACCTCAACTCCATTGCAGCCTCTGTTCTGGAGCCATTACTGTTGCTTAGAGAGGGTTGGTAGATTCCCAAGGGAGCTGGGGTCCTAATCATTCAACAAATGTCTGGGTGCCCACTTTTTTCATGTGTACAGTGTCCACCCTGGTCAGCCCAAGACACCAGGAAGACAGCATGCCAGGCTAACCTCATTATCCAGTTCCGTTTTGGTCAGGAGCGTCTGGGTTGGGAGACAGAGGAAGTGGGGGCGGGGCTCTGACAGCCTACGTCCTTGTCAGTTTATTCAGTGTCCAATGGGAACTGATCGAGGTCTGAGTTGATGTAGAGGATGTCTCTAGAAGGGTGCCACAGGGCTCTGGCTTGGATGTGGATGCGGTTGCGGGGGCAACAGAGTCAAGGGGCATCGGGATCCCACCAACTGAAACAAGGATCAGAACAAATGAAGAAATGAAACAGTAGCCAGGTGTGGTATGTGCCTGGAGTCCCAGCTACTTGGGAGGCTGAAGTGAAAGGATCGCTTGAGCCCAGGAGTTTGAGGCCACGGTGAGCTATGATTGTGCCACTGTACTCTTCAGTCTGGGCGACAAAGTGAGACCCTGTCTTGAAAAAAAAAAAAAGAGAAAGAAAAGAAAAGATATGAAAGCAGGAAAAAAGTCCCTCACTTGAGCCCAAAATTCACTTGTGTAGACAATGGTGGGGAAGGGCTTGGGACTTTCCTTGGTAGAAAATGCTAAATGAACACTTACGTGATCTCTGGCTGCATTAATAGAGGTAGACCATACAGAAACAGGGAGGGGCTGGATCAGATCTTTGGCACTGCTCAGACCACAGTCAGCAGCAGATTGGGTTTGTATGCTATACTGCAGAAGACAGGCAGAGCGGAACAAGTCTGGGGTAGGGGCTGCAATTTGGGGCCCCTTGGAAAGATCTGAAGGGGAAGGAATGCTTAAGTCGAGGAACCCAAGGATATGGATGCTACCTTCACATCTCCAGCAGGTTCTTTATGGCCTTGGACTAAACCACAGGACAGGGAAGGACTTTCTAACAGTTGGGCTTGCCCAGGATGGACAGAGCTGCCTGGGAAATCTAGTGAGTGCTCCGTCACAGGAGGCATGCAAGCTGAGGCTGGAAACTGAGGCCAGGAGGACTTTGCAGGGCCTGAGAGTCTGCAGCTGTGGCTCCAATAGGGATGTAAATAGTGTGTGGGCATGAGACACTGATGGTGGGGAGGAGGCTTCTGGAAGGAGGTGGCACCCAAGGATGAGGGGAATGTCAGCTTTCTGGAATCACAGTGGGTGGATTGTAGGGCAGGAGACAGTTAGAGGTGCAGTGTAGTAGGGCAGTGGGGTGAAGAGGAGGGGTAGGGTCCTGAGAAAGAAGAGGTGGGAGGACTTGGTAAGGAGGGGTCCCCTTCAGCATCCCCTCTGAGTTGTGCTTGGAGCCACAGCTGGTGCGGCCAAGGCTGGGAGGTCAGGCGCTAAACCCTGACTGGCTTTGGGGCCAGTCTGAATGCCACCTCTGGGGTGGACACCAACCTGGGTGCCCCAGGCAGACCCTGGCTTGGTCTCCCCTCCCCCAGCTCTGCCCTCATAGGTGAAATGTCTGGAGGAGGGTGTGGGCAGCTCCCCTGCCCACCTCGGTTGGAGAAAGTTCCCAGCCCAGCCTTCAGCTCGCTGGGGAGGCCACCGAGCTAGCAGGTCGGGCTGCATGCCTGGAGAAGATAATGTCCTCGTTTTCTAGATGGGCAAACTGGGCCGGGAGAGGCACCAGATGCCAGGACTCCTGGCCCAGATGCCAGGAGTCTCTGAGGGCAGGGCAGGGGCTCGCTCAGCAGGCTGCAAGGAGAATTTTCCAGCTCTTTCCCCAGAGAAAGGGGTGGCCAGAGCTGGAAAATTCTCTTTCCACCCTTTCTCATCCTCCTTCTCCTCCAGGCACCAGGACAGAGAAGGCCGGGCGCTACATGGCAGGAACTCCCGGGGCCACTTCCCAACCCAGCAGGCTGCCCAGGACGGGGAGCTGGGCTCCTCCAAGCTGTGCTCTGCCTCAGTTTCCCTAGGGAGTGCTCCTCTGACTCAACTCTTAGGCCTGGCATGGTCTGAAAGTGTGACTATGGCTCCTAGATTCTCTGTGATTAGGGGAGAGGGGTTTGATAGGGGAGGGGGGTTTGATGGGGGAGGGGTGGCCACCTGGTACAGCCACAGGCACTTGTGGGGAGTGGGAACAAGGATTTATTTTAGCTGCTAGGGGAGGAGGTATGCTCTCTTGATGTGAGGCCCCTCTGAGCCGTCTCCAGAAAAGTTCCCAGCCACCCCTCTCACGGCTGGTCCCCACTTTGGTGGGGTAAGGGGGCCCATGGGCCCCCAACACATGGGACCCCTATGTTCCGCCTTAGGGAACACGCTCTGCTTTCCTGCCCTTTCTGCACCTCCCTTCCTGTGGCCAGGCCTCACTGTCCCCATGTCACAGAAGAGCAGACAGACCCAGATGGGAAGCCCCTCAGCTGCTCGGTGTCTGCTGAGGCTGGGGCCCAGCCCGGTGGGTCCACCTCCACCTGCCTTGGTCCTGGCAAGAGGGCACTGAGGTGGGGCCGGTGCTGAGCTGGGCTGTGCCTGTTCCAGTGGGGTGCTGAGGATGAGGTGGGACTGAGCCCTAAACCCCAGGTGAGCGGTATCGGTCCCTGGCCCAGGGTGGCCACCTGGGTATCCTTGCCTTGGCTGTGGAGCAGGACCGTGGCCTTGCTGGTGGATTGGGCTGACCCTGGCCAACTCGAGGTGTCAGGGATGGACAGTAATGACCGTGGCCAGGGTACTGGGCAGCCAGAGGTGTAATTACCTCTGCCCCATGATGGGGATGGCTTTTGTACAGCTGCTCCTGGGGCAGCAGGGTGGGGCCTGCACCTGTGGCGGAGGGCTGAGGCAGGCCCCAAGCCAAGTGGCAATGTGACTGGCCCCTCGTGCCTGTCGGGCCCAGCTCTGGAGCTGGAACGAAGGAGGACCAATGTCTAGCGTCCCAACTGACAGGGAGAAAGAAGATTCCTAAGATGCCCAACTAGGCAAAGCTGCACCCAGCAGCGCCCCACACAGAGAGTATCTCCCAGGCCTGTCCAGGGGTACTGTGGAGATGGCCCCATGTCTGAGCCATCCCTCCTCCAGGGCAGGGTTTGGTGGTGCCCAGGACCGGGACAGAGTGGGCAGGCCTTACCCTGCAGGGCCCACCCTGGGAAGGGAGCTTGGGACCTCTGGGCTCCACGTGGATGAAAACCACTGGCCAGGAGAGTAGGGAGTGCGGCTTCCAGGAATCTGTCCCAGGCAGGGCCTGGGGACCCAGGGGGGCCAGACAGAGGCCTGCCTAGCTGCAGGGAGGGGCAGGCAGCTAGTCAGGAGAGAGAGTCCTTGACCTCGAGGCCGAGACTTGGCCCCGGGACCCACTTGACAGGCCAGGCCTCTCTCCTCCTGCTGGGTCTGCAGCAGCCCTCCAGTTCTCACTGTGGCTGGCAGCTGAGGGCACAGCCAGGCCTGTTCTTGTCGCTGCCCAGAGGCCCCCAGGAGGGAGGCGGATGGGCCGGGCCATGGAGCTGCATGCTGTGCGTCTGCATGTGCCAGATGCTGTGCAGTTTGGGACCCCGGGTCCCTTGGGCCCAGTGGACCTACCACAGATCCATTCATATGTACACCACCCTGTGCAGGCCAAGGACAGCGATGATGATGATGACGTCACCGTCACCGTGGACCGAGACCGCTTCATGGATGAGTTCTTTGAGCAGGTGGGAGCCAGCACACCCAACTCTCCCCATGCCTGGCCCATGCTCTCCCGGAGCCCTGAGCTCGGCCCTCCTTGGGCCAAGCCCCAGGCCCAAGAAGCCCCTCGCCACATTTTCTCCTCCTGACCCTGGCCTTGGCCCGCAGGTGGAGGAGATCCGGGGCTTCATTGACAAGATCGCCGAGAATGTGGAGGAGGTGAAGCGGAAACACAGCGCCATCCTGGCCTCCCCCAACCCCGACGAGAGTGAGTGCGTGGGTGCGCGGGCACAGGTTTCAGGCCCCACAGGCCTCCAGGAAGGGGCTCCTGCCAGGGGGTGCTCATGGAACCCCAGTGCCCCTCATTGCTGGAGGGCAGAGGGGGGCCTGGGCTGGCCAGGCTGGGAGGGGTCCATGAGAAGTCTCAGGAAACACAGCTGTCCTCAGCCTGGTGTTGAGGGGTCATTGCCCAGTATCGCTGGCCGTGGGACCGTGTCTCATGCAAAGACTTGGGTGGTGGAAGGGGTGGCCCTCCTTGGGGCTGGGTGGGTCAGGTGGCCAGCCCCGCCCTCCCTGCGTAAGCTGGCTTTTTTCTAAGGTGACAGGGCTGGCTGCTGCCCTGGGTAAGCTGGCTTTTTTCTAAGGTGACAGGGCTGGCTGCTGCCCTGGGTAAGCTGGCTTTTTTCTAAGGTGACAGGGCTGGCTTCTGCCCTGGGCTTCTGGGAGGCGGGAAGGAGGGAGGGAGCTGTCTCTGATCAATAGGAGGCCTCGCCCCGCCCCGCCCTGCCCCGCCCCACCCCACACCTCCCAGGGAGCAGATGGCAGCTCTGCAGCACTGTGGGAGGGCAGGCCGGCCAAGCAGGCAGAGCTTCCGGAAAGAGCTGGCAGCCCTGGCGCCTAGCCACGCGGTACCCCGGAGCAGGCATTCTCAGGGCTCCAGGAAGTCACCCTTCTCCCTCCACACAAGATTCCACTCGCCAGATAGGTCCTGTGACCCGGCCCCCACATTCCTGTCAAGATGGTGGTTACTACACTAACGGGCCAGGCTGACCACAAGCACGCAGGTCCCCTCGTCCCCTCCCCAGGTCTTCCAGGGGGAGAGGCCTGGCCACCCAGGTGCCTGTGGTTGGATCATCTTCTCATCTCCAGCACTGCCTTCCTATCCACAGCCCCTCACCCCCAAGCCCACTGGCATCTTCAAGAACCCAGAATAAATCCTTCCACAGCCCCCAGCTTGCTTGAACCGAGGCCAAGGCCACACCCACCAAGCCCAGGGCCAGGCCTTCAGAAGGCAGAACGGGTCAGGTGGGAGCCAAGGAGTGGGACCACCTAGGGAAGGGGACGCTTGGGGCAGCCATCATGCTTTGCCCCTTTCCCCAGAGATGTCCGGATGGCAGCACGTGACATGTGTCTGCACCCAGATATATCTGGGTCGCTGTATGTCCCTGTGTGGGTGCTCCTGCCAAGGGTCAGAAGGTGACTGATTGTGGGGTAGGGACAGAGTCCTATAAAGGTCAGGGGAGGGGCCTCCCAACTGGTGGCAGGTGTGTGGGCATCGGGGGCTCCCCCTCCCTTGGGGCTCCCTCTCTTTGAGGTCCCTCATGCCATCTGCACTTCTTCCCCATGTGTCAAACACAGAAGGGACCGGTTCAGAATCACCACCCATGACCTGGCCGAGTACCAGGCTCTCAGTGAGGGAGGGGGCTCCCAGGTGGGGGGTCCATGGCAGAGGCAGAGCAGAGTTACTGAGGAATCACGAGAAAAGATGGCAGAGAGTGGGGGGCTTTCCTGGGCTAAGGCTCACTCTGCCTGCTCTGGGGGCCGCCATCCGGGCTGGGCTATTTTGGGTCTGAGCAAAAGAGGCTGAGACATCAGAGCAGCTGGTAACCGAGTTTTCCTTTGTTCTTACGAATGAGGCGCCCTCCTCCGCTCCTCGGAACCCCTCTTCCGCACCCCAGCCCACTCACACTCCACTTGGGAGGGGACCCCATGTAGGGCCTTCCTGATGGAACACTGTCAGCGCCCTTCCCCAGGGCCCTCTAGGAGAAACCCCTACCCCCAGAGGTGAGCAGAGGGCGATAGGAACTCAGTTGGGCTTCTCCCAGGGGGGAGTCCTGGGGATGCCCTGAGGCTTGGGTGTTGTCCCATGTTGCCAGCCCGCCCCTCTCAGGGAAGGTGGTGAACTGGGCACCCCCATGGACTCGGCCAACTTTAGGGAAGAAGGCCCAGAAACACTACGCCACCGCCTTTCTCCCAGCTTCACTTTTCCTAGGCCCAGCTACCTGCCACGGCCAGGAGCGACTGCCCCCCAGGGACCCGCCTCTTTGAACCTCTTCTCTATCAGCTCCCACCCAGGCCATCCACGCCCCCACCGGGCACCCGCCCACTCAGCTCAGCACCTGGCGAGGGGCAGCTCTGGGGCAGAACAAGTTCTGCCCACCCAGGGTGTCTGAGCCTGTGACTCTGGGGAATGTGGGGATGGGGGGCTTCTCCCTCCCTGAGCCCCTGTCAGCCCACTGGGTGGCTGCTTACTGTCCTGGGCCAGGTAACGCCAGGTGAGCCTGCACCCCCCACCTTCGACTCAGGAAGCATCAAGTCAGTGTTCTGGAGCCAACTCCAGCATCGCCAGCTGCTCCACAATTATTTCTGCCTTAAATTTAGACCCATCTGTTATCTACAGGGGGTGGGGGCGACGGAGGAGGGGAGGCTCCTCGAAAGGCAGCACAAGAAGGGGTGAGGCTGCAGCTGGTGTGGCCCTGGCCCAGAATCGGGGGGCAGGCAGAGCCTTAGCCAGGGGAGGAGGGGAGACTCGGGGTCTGCCCAGAGCCTCCCATCGAGCCCCCCATGCGGGAGGCAGAGCCTGAGTGGCAGGCAGGGAAGGAGCCCAGGGGCTCTACCCCCGCCCCTTCTGCCTCCCCAGAGACGAAGGAGGAGCTGGAAGAACTCATGTCCGACATAAAGAAGACAGCGAACAAAGTTCGTTCCAAGTTAAAGAGTGAGTCAGGCTGCCAGCCTTGTCTGGGGGTGGTTGGGGGGCCTCTAGGCCTGCTTGCTCCGTGTAGCCCATGGGGTCTCACTAACCCTGAGGGCTACACCGGATCTCGCTTTCCTTTATGAGGGCAGCAGCCTGTGCCCGTTCACTTAGCAGCTACTTGGCCAGGCCCATTTGTGCTGGGCCCAGGGACACAGACGCTGAGGCTTTATCAAGGCAGTGCTCCGCTCTGGGCACTGCACCTCACTTCCGTTCAAGAGGGTCTAAGAAGTGGCCAGCACCTCCTGGTCTCGCGCAAAAGCCCCTGCACGCTCATGTGAACACAGACATGCACACCCATGAATGCTGAGGCCTCGGGCACATGCCCTGCAAGTTGTGGCCACCTGGCCCTCCCAACTCTGGCACGGCCTCTTGTGCACAGCCTCTCTGAGTACAGAGGAACAGGGTGGCCTGAGCCACCCGCCCTCGCACACAGTCGGTGCTCACACACACAGCTTGGGGTGTGCCTGAGTCTTCACGGCTGGGTGGGTGTGCGCTCACCCACGTGCACACGCTTCGCAGCTGGAGGGCCTTTAGAGGCCCCTCCTCCCATCAGCGCCTGATGCTTCCCTGACCCCACCACCCACAGGCCACACACGGTCCCCCCAGGGCAGGTCGGGAGCCAAATCTGGGTGTGTGGGTTGGGGGGCGGTGGCGAAGGGGACAGCCTGTGGTCAGCAGCCATCTGTTCCCCCAGGCATCGAGCAGAGCATTGAGCAAGAGGAAGGCCTGAACCGCTCCTCAGCTGACCTGAGGATCCGGAAGACACAGGTGCAGGCCGGGACTCTTGGGTGGGCAGGCACCTGTGCCTCTGGGTCTCTCTGGAACCTGACACCTGCACCCCCATCTCGGACCCCCAGCACTCCACGCTGTCGCGAAAGTTTGTGGAGGTCATGTCAGAGTACAATGCAACGCAGTCTGACTACCGCGAACGCTGCAAGGGCCGCATCCAGAGGCAGCTGGAGATCAGTGAGCTGAGGGGCTGTGCCGGAGCTGGAGGGGCGGGGCGGGGCCCAAGGCTAGAGGGGGTGAGGGATAGGACTGGAAGGGCAGGGCCCAGGGCTGGATGGGCATGGCCCAGAGCTAGGGGGTGGGGCCCCGGGCTAGAGGGGTGGGATGGGGCCAGAGGGGTGGGGCCCAGGGTTAGATGGGTAGGGGTGTGGGCTGGAGGGGTGGGGCCTGGGGCTCATGCTGAGCTCCGGGGAGAGGGCCAGGCTCAGTGTGACCCCACTGGCAGCTGGCCGGACCACAACAAGTGAGGAGCTGGAGGACATGCTGGAGAGTGGGAACCCTGCCATCTTTGCCTCTGGGGTGAGTGTGACCTTCCATGACTCACCTACCATGTCCCTCTACCATGACCCCTAGTGTGTGTGCAAAGTGCTGGGTTTGGACAGCATTTGGACACAGCCACCTTGTAAGGTAGGTTTTAGAGAAGGCCAAGTCCCAGAGAGGGGAAGGGACCAGGCTGAGGTACATAAATGTTAGTGGCAAAAGCGGAATCAGGACCCCGTCTCCTGGTGCCTCCCATGTGGATCCACTTCTTTGCTGCCCTTGCCTACTTGCCAATGGCCAGGGGCCCCTCCCATCATCCTGGGGGCCGTTTTCTCCTCCTGGACAACACTTGGCCGTCTTTACGTTCAGGTAAAGCTCTGTGCTATGCCATAAAGCAGGTGCTTCTTGGGAGGTGGCACACGGGTGTGGGAGGCAGCTGGGGGTGTGGGTTCCAGGAGGAAAGAGGAGAGGGGCAGTCACACTCCATGTAGGGGAGGGGAGAATAGCAAGGCAGTTCCAGGCCTGGGTCCATGGGGCAGTCAACTTGGGCTCTGCAAAATGCTGGTGATCAGAGCTGTCACTTATTAAGCACTTACTATGTGGTCAGCGCAGGTGGGGAGTGTTACTAGCCCCACATTATAGGTAGGAAATTGGGTCACAGAGAAATTAGGTAACAGCTAGCAGGTGGTAAAGCCAAGCAGTGAGGGTAGGGCTGCGGCTAGGGAGGAAGCTGCAGGCCCCTTCCGGAGCAACTCTGCCTGTCCCAGCAGCCCTCCTTCTCGGCCTGCCCACCCGCTCAGCTCTGCGTCTGCTCCCACTCCCTAGATCATCATGGACTCTAGCATCTCGAAGCAGGCTCTGAGCGAGATTGAGACGCGGCACAGCGAGATCATCAAACTAGAGAACAGCATCCGGGAGCTGCATGACATGTTCATGGACATGGCCATGCTCGTTGAGAGTCAGGTGAGCACCCCGGTCCCCCCAGCCCCAGCCCACAGCAGCACGCAGGGCTGCACTAATCCCTCCCCTTTCTGCCTGACATGCTGCCCTGTCCGGGAGGGACCAAGTCCTCAGGTAACCAACCACCTGCTGTTGAAATTGCCACCAGAGCCCTGCCCGCCCCAAGGACCCTCTTCTCTGCATGGCTCTGCTTGGCCCTCCGGGACCCCAGGCCTTGCATGGCCCCACCCGCCTCCACCTAGCCCTGCTCTGGCTCATTCACCAACTGTCAAGCATGGGGTCAGGTAGACCCGGTGCTTTCCTAGGAGCTGGAGGTGTAGCAGTGACCAGGACAGCTGAGGGGCCTGCTTCCTGGAGTGAGTGGATATTAGGTGAAAAGTCTGTGTAAGAACAAATGGAATGTTCTCCAGTGGTACCAGGTGCTCAGGAGGCGGTGGCAGGAGGCATTGTGATAGGACAGTGGTGCTCAATACGGAAACTACCTAGGAATCACCTGGAGGACTTGTCATAAGTTTCTGGGTCCCCATTTCCAGAGACTGATATGATAGGTTGAGGTGGGGCCCATGAGTGTGCATCTGAGAAGCTCAAGGGTGATGCTGATGTGGTCTGAGGACCACTTCCAGTGACACTGGTAGAATGACAGGGGTGGCCTCTTTGGAGGGGAGTGGTCAAGGAAGCCCTTTCCAAGAAGGGAACATTTGAGCCGATACCAGAAGAGGTGGACAGGAGCAAGCCATGAAGGCTTCCCAGGGAAGACTGAGAGCTGGCCCCAGGCAGAGGGATAGCAAGGCCAAGGTCCTGAGCCTGGCAAGAGCTGGACTTATTTGAGGGGCAGAAAGGAGGCCCGTGGGTCCGGGGCGCAGGCAGCGGTCAGAGCTGAGACGAAGCTGCAGACGCAGCGGACGGGGCCTTGGCAGGCTTTGCTGGGGCATGTGGAGTCTCTCCTAGACTGGGGGGTTTTTAAGTGGAGGAGTGACATGTCCTTAGGAAGCAGGGAGGCCACAAGGAAGCTGCTGCTGCCATCCTGGTGAGACACCATGGTGACATGAACACGAGTAAAGGCGATAGGCTTGGAGAGGGAGACATGCCCTGGGATTCTTGTGGGACATTCAGTCACATTGGCCTTTGGGGGCAGCATGGGACCAGATTACAGGGTCCAAGAGGGCTGTGGGGCTGGGCAGGGGGGTCAGTCAGAGCTGGATGGAACCATCATGCCTGAGGAGGATGGAGCGGGAACTCCCCTGGAGTCACCTTGGGAGCTATGACCAGGGCAGGCCCAGAGGCCAGCCCGCCCACTCCTGCCCCTGCCTTCCTCTGCCTGGCACTGTCCTCTCTGGCATGGGCACAGGGGTGAGCTGGCGTGGGCACAGCTGAGCGTTCTCTGCATGGTCCCCGAGCCTTGACTGAGACTGCATGGCCCCTTCCACCCCAAGACGGCTGCTCTGCGGGGAGAGGTGGGATCTGCCCTGGGGAGCCTGCTGTGCCCACGATGCCCTGTCCCAGGGGCCTGGCTCTACCCACCCTTCTTACACCCCTTTTCTCCCCCTCTAACCTCAGGGTGCTTTCCTGAAGTCCTGCCCTGAGACCCCTCCCGACCCTGAGAAGGGGGCCCTCTGAAGCTCGCGTGCCGCCGGCCCTGCAGGGGGAGATGATTGACAGGATCGAGTACAACGTGGAACACGCGGTGGACTATGTGGAGAGGGCCGTGTCTGATACCAAGAAGGCCGTCAAGTACCAGAGCAAGGCGCGCCGGGTCAGTAGCCCCCGCTGTGCCTGAGCCCACATCCCAGCACCCGTTAGGGCCGGCCATCCCACAGTCCCCCTTCCCCAGGCTGTCACCTTCTCCCCTTAGCTCCCCAGACTCAGGGTTCATCCCTCCCTACCCCCAACCGTGTCTGAGGCCCTCCTGCCTGCTCCCCTGCAGAAGAAAATCATGATCATCATCTGCTGTGTGATCCTGGGCATCGTCATCGCCTCCACCTTTGGCGGCATCTTCGGATAGAAGCCCCCAACCTGCCACTCCACTCCAGACGGCCACCCCAAGGAGGCCCCTGGCTGCTGCTGCCTGGCTGGGTTGCCCTCCCCACCCTGCCGCTGGCTCTGGCTCGGAGCACTCTCCCTCCCACCCCATACTGCGCCATTTTCTGCCATGGGCCCTGCAGTCCCACCCTGCCCTGAGCCGTGTCGTGTGCATGATCTTTGTGACAGTGTTGTCTGTACAGAAGAGGCAGAGGGAAATAGCCAGTGGGCCCTGGCCACCTCCCTTTACAAGGCAGGGCTGCCCAGGGTGGCACACGCTACCCCTCCTTGCCTCCAGTAATGCCACTCAGGCCTGGGGGCTGCCTTTTCCCGGGATCAGGGGTCTTTCTGGACCCCAACCTTGCATCCAGCTGACCTGCCCACCTGCCCTGTCCTCTGGCCTCTCCAGCTGTCCCCACAAGCTGAGCCCCAAGGGGTGGGGACCAGCTGGCCACATGGTGCTGCTTTTCAGGTTAGGGGAGGGGTGGCCTTGAGTGAGAGCCCAGCTCCAAGCCTCTAATCGCTGATCACTGCCAAGGAGGCTCAGGGTGCTGTGGCTTCGGGCCATGTCAAGACCAGGCTCCCTCCCCTGTAAGGGGCAAAGTCCAACAGGCCTTCAGCCTCAACTTCCCTTCCCACATTCCTGCAGCCCCAGGAGCAGCCCCTTTGGGCTAAGCCCAACCCCAGGAGACCCTCTGGAAGAGGCTGGCTGGTGCCCAGTCCCAGCCACTCCTGCAGCTCGAGGCAGAGCAGGCCTCAGTCCAGTCCTCAAGCCTGTGTTGCATGTTTGGGACAGCAGTCCCTGCTCTCTCGTGCTCCAGGAAGTCAGGTGTCACTTCAGGCCTGCAATCTCATCCTGCCCTTGCCGCCCCCATTGATGTGCCATGTGGGTGTCAGTGTCTCCGACGCAGTATTCAGCAGCCAGCCAGGGAGGGCCACCTCCCCCTCCCCACCATCTTGGGGCTTCTTGTCAGAAACGTGCCCCTGCCCCAAGACCACTCTCCCTCGTCAACAGGCAAGGAGTGTGCATGCGAGCGCATGCAGCAGGGGATGGGGCCGTGTCTGGGTGCCCCATCTGCCCTCAGCTTTGCTCCTGCCCAGTGACTGTGACCACTGTCCGTGTTGCCTTCTTCAAAGCGACTCCCTCCCACCCCTTCACCAAAGGTCTCGGTACAACCAGCTGCCCATTTTGTGAAATTTTTATGTAGAATAAACATTTGTATCTGTACCAGGCCTCTGCTCTAGATTTCTTACCCTCCGCAGTGTCACAGCCTTAGGACTTGGGCATGAATGTACGTGGTGCCAAAAGAGAGAGGCTCACAGGCAAAGGATCCCAACGTCCATTCCCCCAAAGGCCTTCAACTTCCTCAGTCCCATCTCTGGCCATTCAGTCGATAACATCCAGGCTTTTCTATGAAGACAGTCCCAGAATCCCCTCACCGCAGAGGCCTGGAATCTGGTATTTGGGGGAGACTCCCCTGTAGGGGTTACACCTCCTCCCAGACAACTGCCCCATCCCTACAAGTCTTAGCTCCTGTTTAGCACCTGGCACTGTTCTGTACTGCCATGCCTAGATCTTGTCCCTCTTCCTACTTGGCCCCCACATCTCAAGTGACCACTAGATCACCTCTTACCAGCCTGCTAGAGAGCCCCCACATATCCCACAGCAGAACCGCTCTAGGCCATTAGCAATTGGACCAGAGACTGGCCTGAGGCATCCAAACGCTGTGTTGCTCAGCAGCTGACCATGCAGCCTGGTTCAGCCGGCCACCGGGCTGGGAAGGCCTTCACACCAAAGGGAAACCAGGGCAAGGCCACAGGCCAGTGGGACCACGAATGCACTTCATCTCACCCGGCCCAACTCTGCCGAGTGTTACGGTTATACGTGATACGCCCCGAACCAAAGGATTCTACTGTGTTCCTTGCAGATTAAAAGAATGCTTTCATGCCTTTAAGTTCGTTAAACCTAATTCCTGCCTGGGGGAGTCAAGTAGTAGCACCCACCAACATCTGCTGAGGATCACAGAGCTGGGAGATGCCAGAGCCACAGTTGCACACAAAAGGATTTATTGCTTTTAAAACAAAGTAAGATGCTCAGAGAACTTTTTTTTTTTTTTTTTGAGACAGAGTCTCACTCTTTTCCCTGGGCTACAATGAGTGCCGTGGTGTCAGCCTAGCTCACAGCCTAGCTCAAACTCCTGGGCTCAAGTGATCCTTCTGCCTCAGCCTCCCGAGTAGCTGGGATTACAGGCATGTGCCACCATGCCCAGCTAATTTTTTTTCTATATATTTTTAGTGGTCCAATTAATTTCTTTCTATTTTTAGTAGAGACGGGGTCTCGCTCTTGCTCAGGCTGGTTTCGAACTCCTGAGCTCAAACAATCCGCCCGCCTCGGCCTCCCAGAGTTCTAGGATTACAGACGTGATACAGCACCCGGCCTCAGAGAACTTTTTTTAGTGAAGAAAATACTTGCAGAATTTTGAAACTTTTCTAACATACTTTGTCAGCTGATGAAGGAAGCGTTCCAATATTGAAAACTTTCCAGAGGCAAGTGCCAGGCTGGACCACACAGCACATGACCACGTGGCCCCACAGCCGTCCCACTGGGACGCGGCCACTGCTTAGAAGCGTGGCTTGCGTTTGCGGCCGGTGTACTGGGTGTCAGGTCTGACTTCCCTGTGCAAAGAAAACAGGACAGTCTCAGAAAAAACAAAGCAGCCCTTGGGACCCCTTCAGATGCAAATAAGCCCTTAGTGGCAACAGAAGTATCCCCTCCACCCTCCCACACCCTGCCCACCCGGTTCCCGGGCCGAACTGCGTACTCACTTGCCCTGCCGCCGGCACCGCTCCTTCTTCTCCAGCACCCACTTTCGGTTCTTCCTTATCATCGCCTGCCTCGCCAGCCTGAGCCGGACCCTGAAGCCAGAGACAAAGCTGTGAGCTGATGGATGGGGCCGCCTGGCTGGCACATACGCTAACCTGGGTAGGGGAAGATGGCAAGCTTCCCTCTGAGTTAGATGGCCTCGGACGCCCCTCCCTTCAAAGGCTTCACCTTCCCTTCCAGGACAGGACCCACTCTGGACACTCACCCTCCTGGTAACAAACACTGGGGCCAAAGAAGTGTGGCAGGAGGGCTAGAGGCGAGGGGCCACTCCCTCACAGGCATCTTGGTGGCCGATGACCACTTGCCTGCTGGGCGTGCAGACATCCCGTCTGTGGGGCAGACAGGTGGCCACGCTACACTGGGGGCAACCCAGGCCAAGATCAGCTGACAAGAGCCTGGCAGTGCCCAAGGAAAGCCACAGGCCCTGTGCCCAGTGCTGCCACTGAAGGCCGCAGTGTGGTTTTGGGGTCAGCATGCCTGGTGTCAACCAAGTTGGGGCTCCCAGTAACTAGGAATGTGTGAGGCAGGAAAACAAGGCTGCCCAGCTCGCGGCAGTCCTGACAATGATCCTCGGGGGCTCATCTCGGCCTCCATCGTTGGCTGAGGAGAAACTGGACCCCCCACAGCCCCAAGGGAGAGAGGCCCTGAGAACAATGGAAACCTGTCCCCCACAAAACCACACCCCCACCTGGCAGTGGGGATCAAACTGCATCCAGCACAACTCGCGCAAAGGCTGCTTGCCCTGTGTATCAATCACCTACCAAGCACCTGCAGGCACCACCCACATCTGTTCAACAGTGGCATGAACCAGCCTTGCCCTTCAAGAGACCACCCCACTAGGCCAGGCCAAGTGCAGAGAGGTCCAAGAGCTGCCCAGGGCATGCCAGGAAGGGCAAGCACAGAATGAGCCGGTGTTTCTAGAGGCGGGGGTGGGGCACACCCAGGCAGTGCCTGCTAAGGAGCGCCGTGGAAGGACTGAAGGCGAAGGCTGCCTGCAGTCACGGGAAAGGAAGGGGAAGGCGGCGGGGCAGGGCATGGAGGTGTGCACACCAGCGAGGAGTCTGCTCCCCCTTTGGGAAGCAGCGGGAACCAAGATGCTTTATACCAGCGCAGTGACACACCATCATCTAGACTTCGGGGTGCAGAGACAACGGTTCATGAGAGAAACATGGGGGGACCCACAACTAGGGGGCAGGAAGACAGGGATGGACAGGAGGGACTGAGAAGGACTGAGGGTGTGGGAAGGAGGAAAGAGGCCTGGAATAACCCAGAAGACCCTGGCGACCGTCCCGAGAAACCAGTGTGGGGTGAGCCGAGGAGCCGCCACTTGGACAGCCGGCCTGGTGAGCCAGTGCAAGGCGGGACGCAGCTGCAGTCTGTGGCTGGAGATGCAGGATTCATCCCAAAAATTCTAGAAGGAAACAAACTGTGGGGGCAGAGTGGCAAACGGGGGGCAAGAGGTAAGCCTCAGAAAGAACAAGGGAAGTCATCAGGGGAGATAAAGGGAGCAGCTGAAGACGGGGATACACCTAAGCACGGGTGCTGAGAGAGAAGTGGGGGCCCCAGCCCTGCAGGGGCAGCGGAGCGGCATGCAGGGGTGGAGCCCGGGCAGCAAGGATAAGGGAAGGCACAGGTGAGACAAAGTTACGTCAAAAAAAATGGAGACTGAAGATAAATTAGGTAAACGCTTAAAAACTTTTTCTTAGTACACCTATTTATGGTACGTGTCCTGATTGTGACTAGACAGAAGTGAGGGTAACGGGAGAAGCCCCCCCTTCCCTCCACCTAATCTGAGGAACTGGAGAGCAAGAGCCTGCAGAACAAGGATGGAAGACGGACACGCTGGGCTCCCTGCTGCTCAACACGCTGCCCCTTCTACAAAGGTGAGGAACGGATGCTCAGGTCCTTCAACTTACCCGAGTTTACAGTTAGGACGTGTCGTCTGCAGACACTGGTATGAGGACAAGAGGGACCCTAAGATGCATGCAGGGAGTTAACTGGTACTTCCTCTGTCAAGTAGGAGATGGGACCATCCCTGGGAGCAAGTGATGGGCACCTCAGAGCACAAGTCTTCTAGAAGGGACCCCATGTCCCCGTGGGAAATGACTGGGGAAACTAAGAGAGAAATGACCTTGGAGGGCCGAGAAGTCACACAGCACAAACCTGTGGTGGACACGAGGAACAAGCATGACTGTCACCACCGGTGGGCCTTCCAAACTCATTTATTCTCTGCCCATTTTTCCTCTTAAACGTCTTATAGGCCTTAAAACCTTTTGTGTCAACCAGAACTAAGAAATAACCTCCCTGTTCATTACTTTATAATCAGTTATTTATTCAACAAATACTGAACACTTTTTAACAAAATACTATTTCAATGGACAAGTCCCTGCCAACTTGCATTCTAGTTAGGGACAGGAATGATGACCAAGTAAACTGATATATATAATCGGGGACAGTGAAAGGTGTGGTGAACTCAACTGAAGATACTGAACAGAGAAACAATGGTGTCATTTACATTTTAGAAAAACAGAAAAAAAAAAAATCCCGTGTCCTGATTTCCCTAAAAAGCAGGAAAGAAACAAAGAGAAAGAAAAGGAAAAGTCTGGTTGCTCCGCAGAAAATAAATCGAAAGAGGCGAAGACTGAAGCGGGGAGACAAGGCAGGCAGCTACAAGTGACTCGGGCAAGGGCGGAGGTGACTGCGGCAAGCTCCAAGTGGGCAGAAGGGTGGGTGCTAGGCTTACACGGAAAGAAGGGACAGCAGGGCTCGCTGACAGCTGAGTGGATGTGAGACCAGGGAGAGACAGGAGCGACTAAGATGGTAAAGAATGGGGGAGGAAGTGTGGGGGTGAGGCACCTGTGGAAAGTCCAGGTCCAGCACTGAGCAGGCAGTTGGGAAATAGGGGGTGGCTGAGGCGAAAGATAAGGGGGCTGCGCACCGTGGCTCACGCCTGTAACCCCAGCTACTTGGGAGGCCAAAGTGGGAGGATCGCTTGTGCCCAGTTCAGGACCAGTCTGGGCAACAAAGCAAGACTCCTCTACAAAAATTTTTTTAAAAAACAAGCCAGGTGCAGTGGCTCACACCTGTAGTCCCAGCTACCCGTGAGGCTGAGGCAGAAGGATCACTTGAGCCCAGGAGTTCAAGGCTGCAGTGAGCTATGATCACACCACTGCACTCCAGTCTGGGGGACAGATGGAGACACTATCTCTTTTGAAAAAAAAAAAAAGAGGAGGGTTGGCGAGGGGAGGGAAAAGAAGAGTGATCAGCTCTCTCAGATCCTAGTGAGCAGGCAAGTTAAAAGTAAAGATGAGGGCGTGAAGAAAAAAGACTGAGAAGCAAGCACAGATTTGGCGAGACGGAAACTGGTGGTGGCCTTGATGACAACAATTTGTGATGAGACAGAAGCGTTAGCCTGAGAAGTGGACCGAGAGTGACAGGAGAGAGGAGGCAAGAACGGGGAGTTTTGTTACAAAGGGAAGCAGATACCCGGAGTGGTAGTTAGGACTTGTATGGGGTTAATTAAGGGAGAATTTTTCTGAAACAGGATAAATCGTGTATAGCCTGCATATGTGCTGAGGGGGATGACCCAGGAGAGTGAAGACGCGGATACTGGAGCCGAGAAGGGATGGGGTCGGGCGCAGGTGGAGGGCAGCCCCAGGAAAGGAAAGGGCCAGCCTGCCAAGCAAGGCAAGAGGAAGGGCACGTGCAGGCTCACAAAGGGCATCAAAGCTCGCGGCTGCCCATAGGCATCCAGAAGGGCCCCCGCCCCCCAGGCCCTAAGGCAGGAGTAGGCACAGACCAAAAGGGGACTCCAGTTCTACCACCTTGGTGGCAGAGGCTTGGGTAAAAGCAGAGAGAAATGCCACGTCTAACAAACCAACCTGGCAGCAGCAACCCCCACCCTGAGACAGGGCTCAAGAACAGCTTTACCTCTCATTGGTGAATGAGGACTCCATGGCCTCCTCTCCATCCGGGTTGTCACTCAGCCCCTGCAGGAACCAAAGTGCTCTCAGATCACCCCAGAGATCTCTCTAACCATTTGCCCCACTCCAGAAGCCTGGGTACCGAGGCCTGAGCCCTTCAAGAGGCCCAGTTCCATAAGAAAGAACCAAAATTCCTTTCTGGGGCCTGGAGAGCTGAGGTCTCTGCCTCCAGACTCCATGCTCTGGGCCTGGGCCTGCTTTACTGCCAGGGTTCTCCCGGCACACTCTTCAGGCTCAGCCCCACTGCCTAGAACCCAAAAGACACGGGCTCACACACCCAGGGTCCCTCACCTTTGGCAGAAAGGTCGAAGGCCCAGAAAGTAAGCAGAGGTAGAACCTGAAACAAGAAAGTGCAAAGTGACGACTGGGCTCCTAAAGCCTTGCAGGGAGACCAGGCCTTGCCACCCCCACCTCCTGGCTGCCTGGACGCTGGTGACCCACCCAGCACTACTCTGGCCCACTGAGTGGCCCTCCCGCCTGCAGCCCAGACAGCACACCGGCCCCAGCGCTCACTTCTTTGCTTTGGCACTGTTTGGGTAGTCCACCACGACGCCACCAGTGAAGCCTGCCCTTGTGGCCTGGGCTGTGATCAGCTCCAGCTGAGGAGAGAGGCAGTGAGTGAGAGAGCGAGTGAGTGGGGAGGCTGCAGGAGCTGACAGCTTCACCTCCACTCCCGGCAAGAAGCCGGTCTGCTCCAGGATGGACCCTGCCTGGGAGAACTAAAGGTCTTTACCAGACTCTTCCAATTCTGAGTCCCAGAAAGCCCTGTAGAGAAAATCGCAGGCTAGAAGCCAGCATGGCACACAACCTCTTCACAGGAATTACAGAACAAAGCAACTCTCCTAATTCTCACTTTCTAGTCCAGGGACCCATCTCCCTCCTGAAATCTCAGAAATCAATTGCCACCAATTTGAAGCCAGACTTGTTCATGTTATTCGTCAGGGAGAGCTCACTTATCTTTCAAAATCTATGTGTCTATCTAACTACATACATATATATATATACATACATATACACACACACATATAATTTTTTTTTTTTTTTTTTTTTTTAAGGAAACAGGGTCTTGCTCTGTCACCAAAGCTGGAATGTAGTGGTGCGATCACAGCTCACCGCAGCCTCAAAGTCCTAAGCTTGAACGATCCTCCCACCTCAGCCTCGTCAGAACTGTAGAATCAACCCCAGCATGTGAGTGGGAGAAGCTGACCTGGCTCATTGAAAACAAGTTTTTTTGTAGAGAGAGGGTCTCGTTATGCTTCACAGAACAGGTAACTGCTAATATCCTCTCACCCTTCCCACCATTTATTTGGTTACGAAAACCAGTACTATCACATCATCTGTAATACCATTTCATCTGCACCTCCAGTACCCAAGGGGCTCACCTGCTCAGAGTTCTCGGGGTACAGCTGCAGGACAGCTCGGGCTCCACGGACCTGTAAGCAACAGAAACATCACCACCTTACAAAGGACGCCCATGGGATCAGGACCCGGACACACTCTCCCTCCTCCGTTCGCTAAGTATTCACTGAGTTCCCATTACGTGCAAGGCACTGTTCTTAGGGTTGGGGATATGGTCATGGTCTAGGGAGCTAGCCCCTGAACCTGGGAGCTCACATTTTAGTGGGGGAGGCAACTGATATACAGCAACAGTAAGTGCCAAAAAGGAAAACTGGGACAAAGGGACAGAGAGTGAGAGAGTTTACTTTTTGGTTCAAGGAAGGCCTCTCCGTGAGGGAACTTAAGCAGAGACCTGAATGCAGTAGGGAGCTGGCTTTTAGATGTTTGAGGGAAGAACCTTTCAGCAGCAAGAAGGGCAAACACAAAGGTCCTCAGAACTGCAGGATTAACCCCACTGTGAGTGGGAGAACCATGCAACATACAAGACCAGCAGTCGGCCATCTGCAGAAACTACGGGAAAGCTGGAGTCGGGTAGGGAAGATGAAGGAGGCAAAAAATACCCAGATCCTTCAAAAAGAGCTCATTTTCAGGACTTAGAATCTCAAACTATCATCTAATCCTGGTAAACAACTGACATCAACACTATCAGTTATAAAGACAAGATAAAGCGAATGAAGGCTCTCGGTGGTCCATGACCGTCCTGCTCCCCGTCTGAGAAAACACGTCAGCAGCAGGGCGACGAAGGAGTGCAGAGTCAAGAGGACATGGGTGCACTGCAAGGTGTCCCCTGCATGGCCTGCACACAGTGCCTCTGTCCTCATTCTGTTCACTCCATGCCCCCAAACGAACGTCTGATTAACACTCAACATAGTAGACATGAGAATTGTGATCAACAGAAATAGGTCCTACTCCAAGCTAGTAAATTGGTCTCAGATTTTAACATCAGTGTCTTCTGGGTTTGACTAGAGAGCGTCAGCCCACTGAGCCTGAACCTCTGTTTGGGCTGAGGAGCTGGAGAGAAATAACCACAATAAGGTCCTGCCAACCCATGCAGTCCCATTTGAGTGGCCTTCCCTTCATGGGACACCTCAACTTCCTCACTCTACCTGCAAGGCAAGGCAAAGGACAGGAAGCCAGCTCAAATGGGGAGATCTTATACTCACGAGAACAGAATAAAGAGAAGAAAAAAAGCAGTACAGGCGCTTGACAGGGATGTCAGATTTCTTGTTAGCATTACAGAGCCACTGCACAGCAGAAATGCTGAAAAGAAAAGGACTCAGTCAGGGAAGGGACCAATATACATGTCCCCATCCCCTGCCTCTTCAAGACTCCAACACCACCCATCCTGGACCTCCAGGGTGAAACCTTCCACCCACAGCTCCCCTTCTTGGAAAGTACTGGTGCACTCCAGGCCGGGACTCTACAAGAGCAGACAGACAGGGTATATGGAAAGGCAGCACATTCCCAGCCCTCAGCCAGTCCCAAGAAACACTTTCTCAGCCTTGTTTCTACATGCATCCCAAGTTCAAAATCACTCTGTGTATCAAGGCTGTCTCTGCCCGCTCACCCTTCATTTCATCCTCCATTCTAAGAAAATACCCATTATACTACTCACCTACACAAAACCATTTATTCACCCTCCTCCTAAATCATCTCCTGCTACCAAACCTGTTAAGTGTCTTCACAATCCCGATTTAAAACCTCAAGCATTCCAGAGGAAGGCTTGTTTAAAAACAACCAAACCTCAAGCAGGTGCTACGTTCTCCTTGCTGGCTTTCCCCTCCTCACTGCTGTGACATCCATCCACAGGGCCCTATACCCACCCCATTGGCCGGTCCCACAGCTTCTCCCAGCTTTCACTTCCCTCCGCCACTGCTCAGAACTCAGTACTGTCTCAAATGCTTCAACAACCTAACCTCGCTCTTCCACCTGAAAATCACCTTCCGTAAACACAATTTTTTTTTTTTTTTTTTAGACAAAGTTTCACTCTGTTGCCTGGGCTATGGGCTAGAGTGCCATGGCATCAGCCTAGCTCACAGCAAGCTCAAACTGCTGGGCTCAAGAGATCCTCCTGCCTCGGCCTCCCGAGTAGCTGGGACTACAGGTGTGCACCACTACATCCAGCTAATTTTTTCTATTCTTAGTAGAGACGGGGTCTTGCTGTTGCTCAGGCTGGTCTCATCAAACTCCTGACCTCAAACAATCCTCCTGCCTCGGCCTCTCAGAGTGCTAGGATTACAGGCGTGAGCCACCGCAACCAGCCTCACACACAGATCTGATCCCGTCACTTCCCAGCTCCCCAGTATCTACTGAATAAAGCCCAAATTTCTTGGGAAGCAGTTAAAAGCCTCCTAGGAACACACAATCTCATCTTCCATGAAATCTTTCACTCATCCCTCTGATCTCAGACTCCTTTCTCACTGGCTTCTGTACCTTTTCTCACACTGTTTCTTCACTCAGCAACCCTCTCCTTGACTATCCAAATTCCTCCCAGCCTTCAAGGCCCAGCCCCTCTACATCTCAAGGCTTTCCTGTGCTCTCTTGCTCCTCTGCACAGCTCTGGCAGGTCCCACAATTCCCTAGAGCACACCACACGTGGTCCTGTGTTATAGTGCCTAATAAGCCACGGATATTCTTAAAAGTAGGGTTTCCATACTCCATGGCACCTTATATGTCTTATGTGTAGCAAATGTTAAAAAAAAAAAAAAAAAAAAGTTTGCCATACCATCTCCGTTTAAAAAGAAACACCAACAACAAAAATGACTATTTACTTCTAATCACACAGACCACACTGCTGCCCTTTGAATTTTTTTGTTTGTTTGTTTGTTTTGCAGCTTTGAACACTTCATGTGATCATTAGTAAAAAGCAACTGCTACCTTTGAAACGATCCTCCCTCCCCTAGCCTATTCCCAAATGTAAGAAGAATATTTTCAAATCCAAATTTTCACTCCTCACTCAAATCCCTTACCCTGTCTCCCTACCACTCAACCTAGGACCACTGAAGGTGGTCTCCTTCCAAGGTAATGATTTTAACTTCCCACTACACTGAATGCTAAACAGAACTTACCACAAAAGGCAAAGAAAAAGATGTTTCTAATAGTAATTTTACTATTCTGAGATCTGTTATCAAAGTACTATACACAAACTCAAACCTAACTCCAATAACTGAGAAAGGACTCCAAAGCCACTGAAAAGATTAAAGCAGCACAAGCCGCTCTCCACCAGAGTTCTTCAAAAAGAAAACAAGATGGCTGCCAGGGCCCACAAGATGGCTCCTAGAGGCTCAAAGACCACTCCCCTCCCTAACCAGGCACACAAAACAGACACAGAATCCATACCAGGGGTGCCTGAACCTGGCAATGCAAGATGCTCACAGCAGCAATTTTGAAATGCAAAAAAACAAAACAAAACAAAACAAAAAAACAAAACAAAAAACATATTCTTGGGCCTTGCTCTGACCTTATAAATCTGAAAATCCCAAGAAATGTATATTTTTAAGTATCCTGTGTGACTCTGCCACACAGCCAGGTTTAGGAAGCACTGACTGCAGGATTAAATAAAAGCAAGAAGTGCAAACCCTCACCTGATACAACCATCAAAGGTGCCCGGTTTGAAGGGGATGCCCTGGCCCATGTCCCCTAGAAGCAGGTCTCCCTCCGTTTCTCGGTCCAAGGCCGCATCTACATTGAAGAATAGCAAGTCAGGGAAAGAGACAATATGTACAGCTGCTCCACACTCAAGAGAGTAGTTCATGCTGGTGTCAAACAGGACGTACTTACCTAGCATGGCAGGGCTGATGTCGATGCCCACCCAATAGTGCCCCTCATCAGAGAGATAACCTCCACTCAGCCCAGAACCACAGCTGGAAGACACAGTCAAACAGAGACCCAATTAGAGCAGTAAAAACACCCCACCACCGAGACAATCTGAACCAGGCCCCAAGGATCTCACCCAATATCCAACAGGTAACACGGTTGACCCTCAGGCAGGCAAAGGAGTTCCAGTGCTCGCCCGGCCATCCTGGTCTGCACATCAATCATCCGTGGGCTGGGAAGGCAGGCACACAAGTGAGCGATAAAGGAGTTCTGGGTTAATACCTCCCCTTGACCAAAAAAAGCCCAGAGGAAAAAAATGGATCATCCTGGAATACTCTTTCCTGACCCCTTCACCTGGTAATTCTAACTTGGAATCAACAAACTCAACTATTTAAAACTGATCCCAAAAGTCCACGTAATACAGCAACATTCTATTTTGTTGTGACACAAATTCCAAGTGCACCAGCTATTAAAACAAAGCTGATGTGAAGGGAGCAAATTACTTAGCTAATGAACAACAACCACTGGGCATCTGCAACTCTAATAAGCTTTGATGCCCTCAATTACTCGTTAAGAATATATTTTCTTGAAGAATTATCCACCCCAATTACTCATATTTATATATAAACATCAACAACACACAACAAAAAACCAATAACAGTGCTGCCCGTGGCAAATACAATGCAAGCCACACATGACTTTCCAGTAACCATGTTAAAAAGAAACTAGAGAAAAAGGCAAAATAAACTGTATAGTAATTGTTTAACTCTACATATTTAATAATGTATTGTCTTTAAACCAATATGCCCAAAGTATTACTTAAACATATAATCAACATAAATTATCAGTAAGGTAAGTATTTTTTTAAGAGACAGGGTCTTGCTCTGCTGCCCGGGCTAGAGTGCAGTGGTGTGATCGTAGCTCACTGCAGCCTCCAACTCCTGGGCTCAAACTCTCCTGCCTCAGCATCCCAAGTACCTGGGACTACAAGCTCATGCCACCATACTAGGCTTTTTTTTTTTTTTTGTAGAGATAGGTTCTCATTATGTTGCCCAGGCTAATCTCAGACTCCTGGCCTCAAGCAATCCTCTTGCCTCACCCTCCCAAAGTGCTGGAATTACAGATGTGAGCCACCCTGCTTGGCCAATAATACATGTTAGATGGCACCATAATGTGCACCTATAGTGCCAGCTACCCAGGAGGCTGAGGCAGGAGGATTACTTGAGGCCAGGAGTTTGAGGCTGCAATGAGCTATGATCATGCCTGTGAACAGCCACTGCACTACAGCCTGGGCAACAGGGCAAGACTCTGTCTTAAAGAAATAGTTTGCAGCTCTTCACACTCATTCAAACTAGAATGGCTATTGGCTATCATACTGAGCACAGGAGATAAGAAGAGAGTAGTTTATCTAGCCTTCCCAAAATCAAAGGAGAGAATCACGAATAATAGTTTTACTACAATTTGAACAGAAATGAGAGAATAGATATTTACTGAATTTCCTACAGAGCAGCGTATAAGAACGGGCAGGATTGGAAGTCCTTGCTCTAGCCTTTATCTGTCAGATCACTTTGTAGTTATACAAATAACCACCCTCTTATGAAATTCAGACAATACCTACACCAATTGGTTGTCGTGCAGATTTAGCGAGGTAAATACACAAGATAAGCATCATATGAACACTATCTCCTTTCCCCCAATAGTACTGACCCCTTACCCATATCTCCTGCATACTGCCTATTTTACCACATGCTTTGAAGAAGCTGTTGCACTAAACTTTGAAAATCACCTACGAAAAGTAGGCATGATCACGCCCACTTTCAATGCTGAGGTTACCATGGTGCAGAAGGTTCGGTGATTCACTTAAAGCTGACTTTACCAGTAGCAGAAACAGCATCAACCCAGGTCCCTCTCTTCCCCCACCCCCAAAGTCTACGTAGTGCGCTCCAAGCCATGCCCGCAATCAGGGCAACTTGCCGATTCCCGACCCCCGACGCCGCGTAAAATCCAGGATCAGCTCACTTGCGCATGTATTTCCGGGCTTCATTCTTGTCGTAAAACTGCGAGAAAAAGAAAGAAATGGCAGGTGGAGGGAGGAATCCAGACGCAGTGGCCCTAGAAGAGGAGAGGGGGTTGCCCGCGAGCCACAAGCCTCACCAGCTCCGGGGGTCCGCCGTGCTCCGGTCTCCGGCCGCGAAACGCCATCTCCACGCTGCACCAGCACGCTTGGTACTGGCGTCTCCGGAGCCCGGCTTTTATGTCATCAGCCCCGCGACCGCCTGGTAATACGCATGCTCCACGCCTCTCTCGCCTTCCTTTTTCCTTGATTGGCTACAAGGGCCGAAGCTGGGACCAACCCGCGCCTCCCATTGGCCAGTTCATCTTGCACGGCCCACGTGATACATTTAACATGGCGACCACGCGCGGTTTGAGGCGGCCGCGGTCGTTACAGTGGAGGTTGTGGCAGGCCTGGAGATTTTCACAACATTCGGCATCGGGCCTGGGCACGAGGACATATTCCCGGGGCGATGGCTCGTACTCGCGCACGGCGCTCTATGAACTGCTGGACGTCCCCACCACGGCCACGCAGGCGGAGATCAAGGCCGCTTACTACCGGCAGAGCTTCCTCTACCACCCGGACCGCAACTCTGGGAGCGCTGAGGCCGCCGAGCGCTTCACGCGCATCTCCCAGGCCTACGTGGTGCTGGGCAGTGCCACCCTCCGTCGCAAGTATGACCGCGGTCTGCTCATTGACGAGGACCTGCGCGGACCCGGCGTCCGGCCCTCCAAGATGCCCCCAGAGGACGCCGGCTCTCCCCGTCCGCCGCCGGCCGCCTCTCGGGCCCAATACGGCGGTCGGGGCGCTCCGGGCGCCAACCGCACCATGTTCGACTTCGACGCCTTCTACCAGGCACACTACGGAGAACAGCTGGAGCGCGAACGGCGCCTGAGGGCCCGGCGGGAGGCCCTTCGCAAGCAGCAAGAGGACCGGGCCAAGAAAGGCTTACAATGGGACGAGATCCGAGACAGTGCTTTCATTGTCGTTTTCCTCACAATCTTCGCTGTCGTCGGCTTTCGTATTTAATCGGAGAAAGGAGGGAAGGGGAGCCGCCCCAGCCAGCCCTGAGTGAACGGCCTTTCCTGTCTTCTGAACCCTTGGCCTGCCTTTGTCTACCTCTGCTGGGGTCTGAAGTAACTCCCTGCCCTCCCTGACCTGCCCAGCTTAGCCGGTGACCTGCGCGTCCCTCCCCTACGCTCCAGAAACGGAGGCTTTTTGATTCCTAAGAAAGAGGCCCCAAGATGAAGAGTCCCGAAAGCCCAGGAGTGGAGGGTTTTTTGGAGTCCCTTGGGTGCCTGCTTCCAGAGTTTGCCTTCCCGATGTTGTCGATTTCTGGAACACTTGCTCTAGCTTTATTGTACAGTCCTGAGCAAGATTTATCTGCTCCTGCCCCACATTTGTACCGTGGGGCTCCTCTGTAACCTTGAAACGTGCCATGTGACCAATTGTTGGCTGCCAAAAGAAAAAGTCTGGGGTTGTACGAAACTTGTCTTTCTGTGAGTTCCCCAGGCCACAGGTGAGACCTGATCCATAGTAAAAGTGTGATCTGTGGAAAGTTTGCCATTCCTCCCTCTATGGTCAGCCCCACAGTGCACTCCCCTTTTTGTTGGTGGCATTCAGGAGTGGGAAAACAAGGTCATCAAGCATAAGGAATGAGTTCCCGTGCCCGTATTTATCTTATGTGTGACCTTGGAGACATTACTCTGTGAACATGACAGCAGAGGAGTAAATCTGTCACTCTTTAGTACCCATAGTTCTAATCCATAGTGATTACAACATAATGCTAGTAGGGCCAGGTTTATCCTTGGGACAGTGTGCCTGTTACCTGGTCACCCCTTTACCTGCTAGCCCCATTGCTAGCTGTACAGCCCTTCCTCTCTCAGAAATAGAGTGACATGCAGAGCTAGAGTCCCCTGAGTGTGGCCCATGCTCCTGTTTAACTTGCAGTGCTCATCACAGGCCCCACAAGTCCTTGAAAGAAGGCTGCTGGAGGATGGGGGAAACCTTGGGGGTTTGGAGTAGACAGGACTACTGAAGGACGGGAGGCTTGCTGAAGGTGGAGACTCGGTTCCTTACGTGTGGCTGGCTGAAGGTGTTTGGTTTTTTAGGTTTGTTTTTTTTTTAAATTTCCAATTCATGGAAAACAGTTGGTCAGAGCTGCAGGAGTAAGGTTGTCTTACCCCTGAATCGCTGGACGTAGGGAGTGGGTCGGCTGTGAGACTGTAGGTGCTATAGTGTTTGTTTACTGGGACCAAGCGTAAAGCTGTGGGAGAGGAAAACTCTTGCAGAAGGTCTGCGGCAAGGATGAGGGCTCAAGTCTAGGCTCTAAACAAAGCCAGAGCTGGTTTGCTATATTACTGAGTGCAGTTGAGTGCAATTCTTGCTCTCAAATGTTTTGTGTAAAACTCCTTATGTAAATTGGAATAAACCCTCATCTAGTCCAGCTTGGCCTCTTGAAAACCATTCAGTTCTCACCTGGAAGCTGGGGGGTAAGGTCCCAGTCACCACTTTGCAGTGCCCTTATGATTCAATAGTAAAGATTTGAGCCCACCCTGGTTGAGACTTGCTTGGCTCCCTGAGCCTTGATTGGGTGGAGGGAGGACGTGTACTTTTGAAAAAGAACATTTAATGTTACTATGTTTCACATTTGGAAAACAAGCTGGAAAGTCCGTTATTTTTGGAATACGAACAACAGGAAGTGGAGCATAGTGAAATGTACAGAAGCTAGTGATTCTAAACCAATAAAGTGGGGCATAACAGAGTCCTTGGGGCAAGGGCTTTTTGTTTCTGTCAAAAGGAGTTGGGTTCTTTTGGTCTGTAAAAGTATTATGGGTCTGTAAAAGCATGGGCCCCTTTGCATAGAGCTCTCAAGTTTGTTTTCCCTCAGTGAAGATGGTAACTAACAAGGTTCCCTGTGGCCCCAGAATATCCATCGAGTGGATAGAAAGTTTCAGACTAAGGATGGGTCCAGACTAAGTGAAACTTCTGGAACATTCCATGCAACTCTAAGCGGCGTAGTCTATAAAGTTTATTAACCATTGCCAAGCCTCTCCCATGGCCCCAAACTAGGCCCACTCTGATAGTATCCATCCCCACCTGCCTGAGCTCTTTTTAGGCCAGAGCTGATCTGTGATGGATCCCACTCCCTGCCCTCCCTAAAACAGTCTGGGCTCTTCATGGAAAAGGAGATGTGTGGTAGGCTTTTTGAAGGCCCTCCAACTGGTCCCCATGGTAACATTTCCCCCCCCACCCCTCCTCCTCATGTTGTCCTTCGTCTTTCCTTTCTCTGCTTCTTACCTACCTTGGCAAGGGGAGGCTGAACTAGGCCATGGATGTTAGCCCCTGCCTTCTAGGGGCTACTTTCCAGTTCCTGATAGTGGAGAAAGGCTCAGACATGCCCAGCCTTAGTCCTTTTTCTTTTTTTGGTGACAAACTAAAGCAAAACTCCCTAGAAGTTTGGACCTGGAATGGGAGACTAAGGCAAAAGGGACTCAGTCTGCCCCAGGCTGTGCTCAGTGGGGTGGGAATCGGGGTGCAAGTTCAGTATAAGGCTGAGTGAGCAGCAGGCACAGGTCCTACATGGGGAGACTTAGGCAACAAATTAGAAATCAGAGATGCATCTGTCTAGGCAATTGCCAGTGTCTGACAATAGTCTTTGAACTTGATCAGGACTTTATTCCTCCTGAGCCAAACTGCGTTTTCCCCTCTGTTGCCCTTATTTATTGCTGGGCGAAATGACCCTTTGCAGATCCCAGCGTTGAGGAAGTAGGTTTTCTCCCTACTTACTTCCGTCTCAGGTTCTGGCATTTCACTCACTGGGTGCACCTCTGTAATTATCTCAGTGTGAGCCAAGATGATTCAGAACAGTTTACCTCAGGTTACAGAGTTGTCCATTGGGTCATGATTGACTTTTAAAGTCCTTATACCCTCAGTCTGAGGCTAAGGCACCAACACTCCCTTTTTTGGGAAATGGGAGAGGTCTGTGTTTCAAACTTTTGGGCTTCCTAGGTCACCAGACCCTGTGAAAACAAGTTGAGAGAAGGGACAGCTGGTAACTGGCGGCACTACCTCAATCTGCACACTTGAATTCAGTGCACTAGAAAAGTTGGCTCTATCCTGGCCTTTGCCTCCTCTTAGTTCCTCAGCACTGCCACCTGCCGTGAGCAAGATCAATCACAGAGGAAAGCTGAGCGCAGTGGCACACGCCTATACACCCTGTTACTCAGGAGGCCTAGGCAGAAGGATGTCTTGAACCCGGGAGTTCAAAGCTGCAGGGAGTAGCTGTGAAGAGCCACCGCACTCCAGCCTGGACAACAGAGCAAGACCCCGTCTCTTTTTGACCTGCCTTGTCTGCCCTCAGCTGCTCGCTCTCAGATGCAGCTTGCAGCCCTAGTGGGTTTGTGCAAAGCGGCTGAGTGTCCCTCTGTCAACGTCTTAAAATCATAGTGAGATCTGAGTCTGGACCTCACAACCTCACATACACCAAAAACGCTCAGCGCGCTCATCCCGTGCAGGAAACCCATGCAGAGAGTTCATCTCTCTCCATTTGTCCTGAGGTCACAGTGTCACTATGGATCTAGCCATTTTGTCATTGTCTTCAGGCTGGGGTCCTTTCACTAGCCTTTTAGTGGGTTGACTCTCTATCCCATTCTGCCTTTGTCCCTTCAGCATTCCCACCCTCAGCTCTCGGAGGGGACTGCCACGTGACAAAAGAAGGCCTGTTTCAGAGGACCAAGAGCAGACTGAGATTTGGGTTCATGGGCCACAGCCAACCTGCAGACAGTGTTTAACTGGCATAGTATCTTTAATTACTTTAGCCAATATTCAAAACTTGGGAGACTTTGCATAAAAAGAGATTTCTGACCTCAAAAAATGAGAAAATCTGCCACAGCTGAGCTCACATACCTGCATTACCACTGTGGGAGAAGCTGAGTAACATTTGCCCTTTTAGATGAGACACTGCTTCCCAGTTTGCTGCTCTTCCACCAACAGAGGCAAAGTGTAGAAAACCTTTATCCACACACTTGCACCATTTTCCCACAGTAGAGAAATATTTCTCCATCTCGTGTCCATCAAGACGGAAAATTGAAAAAAAAAAGGACTATGCATTTCCAGAAAAATGGGTGCAGGAGTATTTCTTTGTGGAAACAGACTACTCTGTATATCTATGTCACCTCCCTGGGCCCTGTAGGCATTTGAGTTTGCAAATTCCCACGCTACATCATATGTTGTTGCCAGAGCCCACACTTTATGCAGGGAGGCTGAATGTCAACCTTATTTTCATTGTGGGACAAGGAGAATCTTGAGAAGTCTACAGCAGTGGCAAGTTCTTAGACAAAGCCACGGAGCCTTGGTATAGGAACACCATTCCTCCACTTAGTCTTTTATGTAAAATCCTTGGATAAATTGGGATAATCCCACAGCAAGTCCAACCTGGTCTCTTGGAAACCATTTGATTCTTTCTAACCTTGGAGGTGAGGGCCAAGCTCTTAGCCATGGCTTTGCAGGGACCACACAATTCGATTTGAGTCCACTCTGGTTCAGGCCTGCTTAGCTCAGTGAGCCTTGATTGATAAAACAGCGCACTTAATGTTATGTTTCATACTTGGAAACCAAGGCGGGAACCTTAGGAAAACAGGCAGAACCTAGTGATTCCCAAACAAGGAGGTGTACTTAACACTTTCTTGAGGGACAGGGAACTAACTCTTGTCTTTATCAAAAAGGGCCGGGAGTTTTGTTATTTGGGAAATGTTTTGGTTTTATTTTGTAAAAGCACAGGTAGTCTGTAATAGGCAGGACCTTTCTCATGGGCCCCTTGACGTAGGCCCTCCAGTTTATTCTCTCCCACAGACCACAGCCGGAAACACGGCCTGCGTCCTCACAACCTGGAAGGTAGAAGTTGCAGGTTTCAGGCAAAAGGGATGGCTCAGACTGCCTAAAATCTTCCAGAATATTCCATATACCTTCAACCAGGGGGCAGAATGAAGTCTTTTAACCATCCAACTCTAAGCCTTTCCCATGGCCCACCAGAACTAGGCCCACTACACTTGGGTGGTGGCCATCCCCACCTGCCTCAGGTGGTTTTCAGACCAAAGGTGAACACTGAGGGGTCTCACTCCCTATGCCGTTAAAGTGGAGTCAGCTCTGTGGAAGGGGAAGGGTGAGGGAAGCCTTTTGAAGGACCCCATCTGGTTGCCAAGGTAACGCTCTTCTTTCCCAGTCCCTGTATTGCCAGGGTCTTAACTTTTTCTGCTTCTTACCCGCTCTGGGGAGGGGAGGCTGAGCCAGGTAGCTGCTGCCTTCTATAGGCTGCTCCCCAATTCATGATAGTAGAGAAAGACTCAGATGTGCCCAACCTTAGCCCTTTTTCTCCTTTTGGTTACAAACTAAAACAAAACTCCCTGCAAGCCTGGACCAGGAATAAGAAGCCAGGGCAAGAGGGGCCTAGCCTGCCCCAGGCTGTGCAAACAGGAAGAGGCCTCCAAAACTGTTCAGTCTTCTGTCATCTAAGCAGACACCCAGTGGTTCTGGTACCCTTCAGCCTCCAGCAGCTCAAGTGCCAGCAGTGAGGAGAGCAGGAGAACCAAGGCCAAGGTAGGATGGAAGTTCTCAAGTGGGCACTCTCGGTGCTTGAACTGTGCCCCTACTAGGGAGGAATCGGACTGTCTGGGCCTGGGGGGCTCTAAAGCTCACCTGGGCCAGCCCCTCTAGCCATTGCCTACATCTCTAGAGAGCCCACGAAGCAGTCACTCAGGCACTGCTCACACATCTTCAGGGTGGGGGCCACCTGCCTCCGGGAGCAGCCCTAACATGACAGCCTCATACTGAGCCAAAATCTGGCTCTCTGTGGTTTCCACCCACTGGTCTTGGCTGTGACCTCTAGCTCTGCGTGAAGCAGTCCTTTAGAGATTCGAAGGCTAAACATCACACACACACATTCCAGACAGGTCCTTTAACTGTTGTTCATGGCACTTAGTCCCAATCATCTTTCTTATCCTTATTACCCCAAAGATGACATTTTTGGAGGTCTCTCTTATAGTGTAAAACTTCAGTGAAAAGTGGAGCCAACCAATGCCTCCCTCTTTCCAGATGGTTATGTCCCTATTAACATGGACCAAGACCACATTAGCTTTGTAGGCTTCTATAGCACTGACTGTCCCCTCTTGTTTGCAAGAACTCCATGCCTCCCTGGCAAACATCATCTCATTAGAC